AGAAAAACAAACTCTTCTACTTTTAAAGTAACATTTTTTCCTCTTTTGTTGCTTTAAAATATAAAATTTATTCAAAATTTGAGGTACAAGCCCCCCAATTTTGATTGCGACTTGTCTTATGATAACAAAAAGCTAATACTAAAGAGATAAAGATTTTTCACCAATGATTAAACAGTATATGTATCAGATATATTCTTTGAAAAAGACATTGCAATTATGTTGAGTTTTTAGAACTTTGTGAATATATATTTTCCCAGTTTGAATGCTTATTTACCAATTTTCAAATTTTGCTTTGTGCACGTTTAAAAAAATCAGTAGCTTTTGTGAGATAAATAATCGTGTGCGTGTGTGTGTTCTTACTTAAGCTTCACACACAGTGTTCTTGCATTTAAAGGCCGTTTCCTCTTCAAAACAAGTCCTGCTTTTTTTGTTTTTAGTAAATCACTATGGAGATCACCACAGCAACCTCATGACTTTTTGTTGTTTTGTTTCTCTCTCAGTCTCCACAGCTTCCTGCTGTTATTTCTTACTCCTGATTGAAGYAGAGTGTTTAAGACAACCGTAAACACAAAAAATAGTGGGTAGTTTTAAATATTTTTCCCACTTAAAGCATTTTTCAAAATTTAAAGTAATCGTTTTAGAAAATGTTGCTGAAAATCTGGCCTTTAGCAGAACACGACACCGTGCTGATGACCAGAGGAGACTAATTAGGGCTTGAATTAGACTTCTGTTGCACCAAATGGCTCCTTCTTTCTCTTTAATTAAAACCTCCAGCCAGGTTGAAAATGGAGGAGATGGTGGGATGTGGTGGGTGGAGGAGGCTCGTGAAAAGAGAGACAAATGGATTTGGAGGGGGAGGTAATGAAAAAGGTGGATAGATGGAAAAAGATAATGGTAGAAATTAGGATATTTGATAGGAAAGATAGTGACAAATCACCAAACATAAAAAAAACATAGGCAGAATAAAGAGTGGGAAGGAAGAGACAGAAGACCATTACGGACAAATAGAGAGCTAATGATGGGGAGGAAGAATTTAGGTAGAGGTTGAGGGGAAGGATGTGATAAAAAGAGGAGAGCCATTTGTTTGGATCTCATACAAAGGGTGATGGGGACAGAAGAGGGCACAGAGGAGAAAGATCACTAGACTCTAATGATCCGTCTGCAGTCTGCACAATTCAGCGAGTGGAGGTGGGTGTAGGGGAGTTGCCATGGTAATAAGTGGTCCATCAAGTAGTCGGCAGCAGGTGTCCATCTGTGGCCCTTCTATGCACACACCCACACTTTGAATTATTTCAACTGTAAATAGTCATTATTAGAGCTGTGTGCTTTTTTTTCTTTTTCCCCCTCGAAAAAAGAAACAGTAAGCGACAGAGCAATGATTGAAATAATTCACTGAATGACTTGAAGAGGGATTAAATGATACCCAAATGTAATATACCTGTCATTTTAAAAATGTTTGTACATACAATATGTGTTTAATAAACCAACATACAGTGCAGTAACTTAACATATTTCATGCTCAGATGCATGTAAAACAACATCATTAAACTCCTTGAGTGCAGACTCCTGTGGTTCTGGTTCTGGTAAAAGCTGTGTTGAACCAGGGCAGCTTCTAAAACATGCAGGACACCAGCCCTTGAGGACTGACTTTGGACACCACTGTACTAGAGTATAATAATGGTATACTTCTCATCCAACCACAATTAAATTCACTTTGTCCAGGAGGCATAGTTTATCTGGATAGTTTCTTTCTTTCTTTTTAATAATAACAAGCTGGAACGAAAACAAACAAAAATTAAATAGGAGTAATGACTTTCTAATACCCTTTTTTTTAATGTAGGTGTGGTACCCGAGTGGCCAATTAGTAATAAAAAACTGTAGGAACCGTGAGCAGCGTTCAATAGACCAAGCAGTAAAATTTAACAGTGCTTTATTAACAAATAAAAACAGTAGTCTAAAAATGCAAGGTCCTAAAGTACATTGGTGTTCAGAGGCCAAGCCRGAAAAGAGAAAAGAATGTTCTTAGCTGGCCCGAGAGAGGGGCGCGGTCCCTTCCGAACTCAGTCCCGCCGGCACCAACCGCCGATCCTCCGCAACCACAGCGAATCCCGACGAATGATCCAAACCCTCGCACTCCAACGCCGGTCGTCCGCTCCTCGACAGCGATCCAGCCCTCGCGCTCCGACGCCGGTTGTCCTCCTTCCGGCAGCGATCCAGTCCTCGTGCTCCGACGCCGGTTGTCCTCCTTCCGGCAGCGATCCAGTCCTCGTGCTCCGACGCCGGTTGTCCTCCTTCCGGCAGCGATCCAGTCCTCGTGCTCCGACGCCGGTTGTCCTCCTTCCGGCAGCGATCCAGTCCTCGTGCTCCGACGCCGGTTGTCCTCCTTCCGGCAGCGATCCAGTCCTCGTGCTCCGACGCCGGTTGTCCTCCTTCCGGCAGCGATCCAGTCCTCGTGCTCCGACGCCGGTTGTCCTCCTTCCGGCAGCGATCCAGTCCTCGTGCTCCGACGCCGGTTGTCCTCCTTCCGGCAGCGATCCAGTCCTCGTGCTCCGACACCAGT